TTTGAAGAGTCTACCTATGGAGGCCTTGAGGGAGCAGAGTTCATCGTTGCTTAAAGTAGATATCTTTGATGTGTCCACCCACAACAGAAGAGCCATAATACCTCCCCGCTTCGACTCATTTGAGGCACTTCAAACAATCAGTATCGAGGACACAACACTTCTGCCTCTCCCAAACTTCAGTTTCTGCCACTTACCCGCTCTGCTGCATTTGAAAGTCTCCAATGTGCTCTTGGGAGACCAAGGATTTCCCCCATCAGTGTTTAACGACGTGCCTCGTCTGGAAACCCTGCGGTTGAGCCGCGTTGGCTTCACCGAGATACCCGCTGCACTGACCCATCTCCGGACCCTAAAACGCTTGGATCTCTCGGATAACGAAATCGAGAACGTTGAAGCAAGAGTTTTAAGCACTCTTCGGGGACTGCAAGTACTGGATTTGCAGGGCAACCGAATCGAGGTGTTAGACGGGGCGGTGGCGGCAACTTTGGAAAACATGACATCCCTCCAGGCTTTCCGTCTTGACGGTGACAACCCCTTCTTGTGCACGTGCGAGTTGCTTCCCTTCCTAGTCTGGTTGCACAAATCCTCAATACACATCGGCAAAAAGAGCAACTTTGCCACTTACGCGTGCAAGAATCCCTCACAACTGTCTGGAGCGCGACTGCTGTCGCCTGATCTTCTCTCCTACCTAGAATCAAACTGCAGTAGAGATGTAACCGATGAGCCTTCAGCATCTCCGCCTAACACGACGGAGGAAAGTCACGGCGGGAAAGTTGCGGATGTCTCCTTATCGTATCAAATTATCATACCTGTTGCCATTGTGTCCGTCGTGTTGAGTGCAGTGGGTGTGGTTGCTACCTGGATGCTGCACAAGAGACTAAAGAGGAGGTGGGTGGGCTTGTTTAGACGTTTTGATCCCAACATTGTTCCCCGACAAGTGTCAAATACCCCCGACCAGGAAATGGGCTACAGATACGACGCGTACATTTGCCATCACGAAAGCGCGACTGAGTTCGTCGTCAACGAGATGATGCCGGAGATGGAAGGGGAACCAGGCGGCTTCCGTCTGTGCCTATCCTTCAGAGACTTTCTTGTTGGTGCCGACAAAGTTGACAACGTAGCGACTGCCATGAAGGCTAGTCGGTTTGTAATCGTGCTCCTGGACGGAGAGTTTATCGCCTGCGGTCAGTGCATGCTAGAGTTGAATATGGCGTGCACCCGCACGCTCGAGGCCGGCGTATGTGTTGTCCCAGCCGCGCCGAGTTCCGAGGCTCACCATCTCCTCCCGGATGGCGCAACTGGTCTCCTGCTCGTTCTTCTCGAAGCACTCCCCGTGGAAGCCCTGCCTACAACGTTACGGGTACTCCAGGACAAGATTACGTGCTTGGAGTGGAACAGGGAGGACACCAGAAGATGCTGGCAACAACTTAAAATCTCCCTCCGGAATACTACATACTACCAAAGCCCTCAACTTGAGAGAGTTTTGATATAACACAACCGCTTATATAATTTGGAGGGCAAAGCTTCCAGTCGTATGTTAGGCAGAACATTTGACATCACATCGGTCAAACCTGAAAAGTCGGCTATGCTGCTTATGTAGGTTTCTAGGTTGCTTAAGAAGAATACTCAGTAACAACAATTCCTACTTGCTTGCGTTATGTTTTGGCCGAATTTTCTCGAATAATCGAGAATGGATTACTTCAGTTTAGTCACATGCCTCAAAGAAACCAACGACAAAAAAGAAAACGGAATTGGTTTATCACGTTGCCTGGACACATGTTCAGAGATGCTTCCCGAGATTTCTTCCATTTGGAGTAAAAAATAATTTCAGCGAATGATGTTTCATGAGATTTTGTTGTCCGTTTGGAAAAGTTGTCAATTTTTTCCTCGAATTCCAAATAATTTACGGCTCAATATTCCCGAAAAATATAAATATGCCCAAATATTCCCGACTCCGTCAAGTTTTCAGAAGAATCGCGCAGTATTGGATATTGTCTTTGTGTGCATTTTGTTTCCATTCATGGACTTGTACACTAATGAGGCCTTCAAAATTGCCAGGTTCGTATCTCACAAATCAGATTTAGGATTAAAGTGTTATTCACAAACATCGGTGTCTCACTGTTCGAGTTTTGTAAAAAGGAGCAGTTTCCTTGTTTCCCGAATTCTTCCGTCGATATACTAGGACTGCAGCAATGTATCCCTTTTTTGTTTTCAGTTTAATTGCTTGTTGATCAGCTGTCTGGCAGAGGCAAAGCGCTAGGATACAAGCTGTGAAATGTGATCAATTATGAAGTTTGTTAACTGCGAACTTTAAGCATTTGGTGCCTTAATACTAATCGGGCCAGTTTTCCTGGTAACTTTCACTCATTAATGTATGCAGAAATCTACTCAGCATGGTGCACCGAAGGGCCTGCACCTTTCTTTTGCTGTATTACAAAGTTTAGGAAGCGCGTATCCGTTTAGAAAGCACAACAGGTGCAGCTCAAAGTATCGCAATAATTATTGTGTGTCTAGCTGGTTAGTGAGACTACAGTATCTATAAATATCAGAGTGGGATATAAGTTTCACTTTGTGGTTGTATGCAAGTAATTCTGTA